AATAGAACAGTTATTAATAAGAATCTGAAATGCGACAGACAAGTAATTTTCATGGGAAATTCGCAATATTCGGATTGCCAAAAATATGGATGTGGAGAACATGTATGTTACTACTCAAATTCAAATGTATTCTATCAAAGGAATTCTCCTTCTTTAATTGATTACAGCTGCCCTCCAAGCAAAAATAATGAAGGTGTGAAAAGTTCGATTTATATGTCTTCGAGTGGAGCAATACTTGAAATGACTAAAAGTGTTGATGAAATTATTTTGATGGCTTCTTCAACAATAAACACACCAGTTGGAACTTTTGTTTTGAGTGCTGATAATAGCAATATTGTAGTCACATTTACCAATACAAATAAAAATGTTATATTGATAAATGACACAAGCAACCCTTTTATAATTACAGCGAGTGGAAATTGTGTTGTTATAACACAAAATTTGGGAATTACAGAATCAAGCAATACACAAATTTACATTGGAAACAATCGAATGTGTGACGCATATTATTTTAACAAAAATAAAAAGTGCATTCATTGCAAAACCGGGAAATTATTTGGAAATACATGTTATGACGTGTCTTCTGTTTCAAATTGTCAAAAATTGAACAACAATTTTGGGTGTGAAGAGTGTGAAAATGGATATGGCAATTTGGTGTATTCATGTAACCGTTGCGGTTCCAATTGTAATGATTGTGTGTCAAATAACTTACAAAATTCATTTACATGTATCGAATGTGAAAATGGTTATTATTTGAAAGATGGTGAATGTAAAATTTATGACGATACTATCACTAAACTTTTTTCATTAAATTATACAATTTTATGTCATAGTGGATATTACTCAAATGTAACGAGTTGTGAAAAGTGTATCGATATTAATTGTAATGTATGTATTAATGATGGTTTGAGGTGTGTTATATGTAACAAAAATTATTATTTTGAAAACGAAAAATGTTCTTTATCCAAAGAAGGCACTTTATATTCACAAGATAATTTTGTAACATGTGAAAAAGGGTATTACATTAAAATAATTCCAAATAAAGCAACAAAGTGTACTAAATGTTCAGAAACGTATGGTGAAGATTGTGAAACCTGCAATTCAAAAATATGTACTAATTGCACAAAAGGTGTTTTGGATTTTAATGGAAATTGTATATTAAACAGTGGGTGTGAAGTGATTAAAAATAGTTTATGTATCAAATGTCAACGTGAATTGAACACACGGTACTTTAATGGTAATGCATGTGTATTATGTGATAAAAGTGTGAACTGCACCAAATGTGAATTTAATAAATGTGTAGAATGTTCAGAAAATAGTTATTTGTTCAACGGCGAGTGTCACTCTACAATCAATGAATATTGTAAAAGTAAGAGTGTTACAAACAAATTTTGTTTAAGTTGTGTAGATGGCTATTATCTCAATAATAATGGGGCTTGTTCGAGTTGTGGCAATAATTGTAGTGTGTGTTCTTTAGAAAACAAATTGCGATCATTTGAACACAAATTTGATGACAATTCCGAAACACAAAATGATTTGATTTTGATTTGTAAATTATGTAAAGGTGGGTATGCTTTCAAAGAGAATACCAACATGTGTATTGATTCAAAAATAACAACAGAAAATTGTAAAAATGTCATTCCAGGAACATCTTCAAGTGGCTGTGCTGTTTGTATGGATGGGTGTTATAGAGATAATGTCATTTGTAAACCATGTATTTCCAATTGTGAATATTGTAACACCAATTCAACGTGTTTAATTTGTGCATCAGAGTATTTCTTGTTGACCAATTCGACAAGATGTGTTCCAAATTCTGAAAATTTTAATTGTCAGAAAGTGTTGCCAAGTGGGTGTAACACGTGTAATGATGGCTTTTTCGTTGACAAACAATTTTGTACTTCCTGTGACTCAATAACACCTTTTTGTTTGAATTGTAATACACACAGTGGTCAATGCACTTCATGTGTATCCAACTACATTTTATCAGGACAGTCTTGTGTTTCATTTTCAACAATTGAACATTGTAAAGAAGAACATAATTCTAAATGCTCCAAATGTTCTTTCTGGTACATTCCAAGTGAAAATGGAATTGGTTGTAAACCGCATGCAGTTTGGTGGATCATTTTATTGGTGATTCTGTTTTTGATAATATGTGTTGTATTTGTCATTTTCATTGCTTTTTATTTCACAAAGTTTGTATCAAAGATAATCCACAAACAAAAACAGATAAAAACAACAACCATTTTTGATATGAAAAAATCGAATGTGTATTTCACACCGATAACACCATCATCTAAAATAGTTGTAAATAAAAATGCAATTGAATTTATTAGTGGCGATAAAATCGAAATTCCTGTTTCTAAAGAAACACGAGAACTTTTGTGTGTTGGTAACTGTTCCAAAAATTCAATCAAAGTGCAATTTTCAACACAAGAAAGTGTAAAAAAGTATTCACTACAAACGGTCCCACAAATAATTGTAATCCCAAGAGGCAAAGCAGTTGAATTTGGAATTTCGGTCATTCCGAATTGCACTTGTAATATATCAGATGATATTCTCATGATTTCATTCAACTTAAAAATTGGTGTAACTGAGACAAATAATATCAAAATTGGGTTTTCAACTGAAATAACGACAAAACTCGACTATGACGAAATCAACAAAAATAAAAAAGTTGGCGAAGGATCTTTTGGAATTGTTTACAAAGGCACTTTTAGAGGAAATATTGTTGCTATCAAACAAATGAAAAACTCAAATCATTTGGATGATCAAATGGCAGAGTTTACAAAAGAAGTTGAAATGTTAGACAAATTCCGGAGTGAGTATATTGTTCACTTTTATGGCGCAGTTTTTGATATTAACAAAACATGTATGGTCATCGAGTTTGCAAAATTCGGGTCTTTAAATGACTTAATAAAAAACAAACAGTCCGAAGAAGTTAACACAAAAATAAGGGTGAAACTATTGCTTGATGGAGCAAAAGGAATTTCTTATTTGCATTCAAATGGGATATTACACAGAGATATCAAACCGGACAATTTCTTGGTATTTTCACTTGATATAAACGACAAAGTTAACGCGAAGTTGACTGATTTTGGGTCAAGTAGAAATATCAATTTGTTAATGACCAATATGACTTTCACAAAATGTATAGGAACACCATGTTACATGGCACCCGAAGTATTAAATCAAGAGAAATATAAAAATGTCGCAGATGTGTACTCATTTGGAATCACAATGTATGAAACTTTTGCTTGGAAAAAAGCGTATTCAACAGACAAATTCAAATTTTCATGGAAAATAGCAGAGTTTGTTATGTCGGGAAAGCGTGTTGAAAAGATTGAAACTATGACTGATAATGAATATGAAATCGTTCAGAAATGTTGGTGCACAAATCCAATTGATCGTTTGAACATAACGCAAATCATAGAAGAACTAGATTCTTTTTTATAAACAAAAGCACTTTAATTTTTTGGTTTTATAAACACGGATGGAGTATAAAATGGGTGCCAGAAACTAAATGTTTGCCATATAAAAAAAGAGGAGTGATTTATGTAAAAAAAACGGGTTTATTATTATATTGTTATATTTGTTCTTTATCGTTTAATTTTTCATATGTTCAAACACGAATACACATATA